TTATATCTTTACATATTTATATATTTATATCTTTATATTTTTACATATATTTATATCTTTATATATTTACATGTACAAAATATTAAAGATATATATTTATATCTTTACATATTTATATATTTATCTCTTTATATATTTATATTTTTATATCTTTACATATATTTATATCTTTATATATTTATATCTTTATATTTCTACATATATTTATATCTTTACATATTTATATATTTATATATTTATATATAAAGATATAAAGATATTAGTTTTGTATACAAATAATATTATAGTATAGTATATTATACTATTAGTATAGTATACAAATTATATATTATACTAGTATAGTATAGTATACAAATTATTAGTTTTGTAATTTATACACAATGTAATTTATACACAATAAAAATAATATAATGGTATATTAGTATAGTATAAAATATTTGTATTCTAATTTTTAATTAAATTAAAATTACGCTAATAATGTATAATAATATATGAGGAGATAATAAATTTAATCCAATTACTTTTATAAATATATAAATATAAAATCTATAAATACAAATATATTTATATTTTTTAATATATATTTAAATATTCATATATTTATATATTGATATATTTAAATATTGATATATTTATATATTGACATATTTATATATTTATATATTGACATATTTATATATTTATATATTGACATATTTATATATTTATATATTTATTTATATCTTTATATATTTATATCTTTATACATTTATATATTTATATCTTTACATAGATTTATATCTTTATATCTTTACATATATTTATATCTTTACATATATTTATATCTTTATATATTTATATCTTTATATATTTATATCTTTATATATATATATATATATATATATATATATTATATCTTTATATATTTATAAAATATATATATACAAATATATTTATATATTTTAATATATATTTAAATATTGATATATTTACATATTTACATATTTATATATTTATATATTTATGTATTTACATATTTATATATTTATATATTTACATATTATATATTTACATATTTATATATTTATATATTTACATATTTATATATTTATGTATTTACATATTTATATATTTACATATATATATATATATTTATATATTTATTTATATCTTTATATATTTAAGAAAATATTAAAAAATTAAATATTAAATTTTAAAATAATATTTTATTTTTAAAAACAAATATTAAAAAAAGGTTTAAAAATATATATAAATTATTTTTACATGTACAAAATATTAAAGATATATATTTATATCTTTACATATTTATATACTTATAAATTTATATTTTTATATATTTATATCTCTATATATTTATATCTTTATGTATTTATATCTTTATACATTTATATCATTATACATTTATATTTTTATATATTTAAGAAAAAATTTAAAAAATAAATTTATACACAATAAAAATAAATTATAAATATTATAATATAATGGTATATTAGTATAGTATAGTATATTTGTATTCTAATTTTTAATTAAACTAAAATTATGCTAATAATGTATAATAATATATGAGGGGATAATAAATTTAATCCAATTACTTATATATATATATATATATATATATATATATATATATATATATCCATTTTTAATTTTTTTTTCTTTTTAAACTTCTCACATTCTACATTGTTTTTAAACTCTATAATTTTTACTATATTATCATCCTCATTTCCTCCCATATTCTATTTTATTTATAATAATTAGTCTTCTTTTATAGAATACTTTATTTTCTATTTTTATTATTTATTTTCTTATAATTTAAAATAATTAATATTATTTTAACATTTATTTTTATGATTTTTACTATAATAAATCAAATTAAATGGTTTGATAATATCAATTAATTAAAATCATCACATAAAAAACTTAGATAACTACATTAAAATTATTAATTTTAAAAATATAAAATATATTTTAAAAAAAAATCAAATTATAGATTGAAAATAAAATAGAATAAACAAATACTCTTTATTTTATATTATATTTAAGTGTGTGCATAAATGTTGACCTTCTTAACTATACAGTAGAAAAATATAAAGATAGTATTTGAAGAAGTGAATTTTAAAGATAAAGACTATTTTTATATAAATTTATTCTAGTATATCAATGAACAATAATAATACATAAAATTTAAAAACTAAACTAAAAAAAGTAAGTTTAAATTTATACAAAAATACATTACTAAAAGTATCATATTATATTAAGATTTTCATCATTTTCGTTAATTATAAATTTAAATGTATTTCCACTTTTGATCCATCATAAATAAAAATAAATAGTCTCTTATAAATATTTTTCTATTTTAATCAATAATTAAATTTGTTTTATATACGAATTTGATGACTTATCATATTATTAAAAATTTGGATGAAATAATTATGTATAATATTTTTTTAGTATATTATGTGTTTAAATTTGCTAATAGAGAAAAAGTTTCAAAATTCAAAATGTTAAATACTTTTAAATATTAAAATTGACTTTGTAAAAAATTAGGAAAAAAACAAATAATCCAAAAATATAATAATGATAAAAATATTATAAAAAAGAGTTCAAAAATATATTTAATATTTTCAGTTTTAGTTTAATTATATTTTTAATTCTTAAAGTAGAAAAATATATTGTAATTATTTTAATTTAATAAAATATAATTTAAAATTTTAATACTAAAATTAAAATATTAAATAGTAATAAATTTAATTCTTTAAATTTAGTATTTAAAAACTAAAATTATAGTTTCTCTGTTTTAAAAAATTAAAATAAATATTTAAAAATAAAAATAAAAACTAGTATTATCTTAAATTTATTAAAAATATAATTAAATCTCTATTTTCTTATGCAATTTTAGAAATTTTTTAATAAAAATCCAATATATAAAAAAGTTGAAATTTTAAAAAGGTAAAACCTTAATTTATATTAACTATTTTTTTGAAAAAACTGACAAGAAAAAGTTGGCTTTGAAAAAAAAAGTTAATAATTTTGAATTTATTTAAGTGATTAAATTTTCAAATGTGATCTATAAATTTATTGAGCAAAATTGGAGGTATGTTGAATATAAATTTAAATATATTTTTAATTTATTTAAATATGGTTTATTTTTAGTATTTATAAAATAGATTAATTTTAAATTTTTAACTTTTCTAGCAGTCTATTTTCAATCTTTGTTATTAATTATGTTAAAAATGAAAACTATTAATTAGTATACTTAAACTAAAAAATATTTTAACTAAAGATAAATATATTTTTATTAATAATTTAATTAAATAATATATTTATTATCTAATGTATATTGATACAAATTTTTTTGGTATATCAATTATATGACAACAACTATGCTTAAGTAATTAATAATAATAAAGCAATAAATTTAAAAATTAGATTAAAAATAAAGTATTATAAAATAAAATTGTAATAATTTGATTAAAATTGTAATTTTTTAATTAAGTTAATTAGGAATTAAAATGTGATAATTTGATTTGTTTAATTTTTTAATATAAATTTTTAAAATATAAATTAATTTCAATTGAAAAATAAATTAAAGAATATTTGTTATTAAACTTTTCTCAAATAATGTATTGAATAGTTAATATCACTCTAGTATTAATTTATTACAATTTAAATTTTTAATAAATTTCATTTATTTTTAATAATATTTTTATTTTAGTAGTTTAAAATTAAAGTTAATCTTCATTTTGTTAATATTGAGACCAAAGTTTATTTTTAAAGTATATTTTTAAAATTAAATTATTTTTCAAAAATAAATTACTTTTAAAAAATAAATTGTAAAAAATATACTAAAACAATTAAAGTATATTTATAAAAAAATAAATTTAAATATAATAAAAAATAATATTAATTAGCGACCGATTTAAATTCGGTTGTTATTTTCTCATTAGCGACCAATTTCAATTCGGTCACTATTTCAATTTGTATTTCGGTTGCTAAATCAGTCGTTAAATGATTTTTTTATTTTAGTATGGAATAGTCATCGATTTAGCGACCGAAATTTTGCGACGCAAACTATTGGTTGCTATTTCGGTCTCTAAATAAAAAAGTGAAACCAAATCATATTTCGGTCGCTAAATCGGTCGCTAATTGCGACTAAATTAAAGCGGTCGTTAAATCGGTTGTTAGTTGCGACCGAATTAAATCGATCGCTAATTGCAACCAAAATTAAATCGGTCGCTAAATGTGTTTTTTCTTGTAGTGTGAGAGGAATAAATTTCTGTAGCTGAAAATGTGAGTACCCAAATTTTCCATCACGTAATCAGTTATCAATTAGTGGAAGAGAACATAAATGTTATGTACAAAACCATAAACCTAATACATAAATCCATTATCATAAATTTATTATAAATAAAATATTATATTTTAAAGAAATTGTAACAAAATTTAGAAAAATATAAAATATATTAATTACACATATGTGAGAAATAAGACTTGCTCAAAAGAATGTACCACTCGAAGCTTATATTGCACAAGAGTGTGTGCACTTTTGTTCAAGGTATTTATATAAACAAGATTGAGTAAATATGTAAGAAATTATGAAAGTGATCTAGATTGGTTAAACAAATCAAAGTTGAAATTTTGTCTAGAAGTTGGAAAATAATCACATTTAAAAAAACATGTTGAACTAATATAGTAGATCAATAACAAAGAAGAATTTATATTCTTCAAAATTGTGATGAAGTCTCACCTTTTATTCAATAAGTGATTTTCTTAAATTACATATTTATATTAAATTATTGGAAATATATAATTATTATATTCTTGCATTTTATGATCATGTTCACAAAATGTGGAACTAAGACATCAAAAAGATTTTTTTCAATGGTTAAAAAAATTTGTACATTTTTTGTTGTTGTCATTATATAACTTATGGATCATTATTTGATACAATGGTATAAATGAATCATTACTTTACTTGGCTTATGGACTTGATACACAAGTTATTTGATAAATGGTTAGAGTTCAATACAAATGATGGTGATATACATTTGAAATCACAAAATAGTGGAGTTTTAGTTATAGGTGACGAGAATGTATGTAATATTGATTACTTTGGTGTCTTGACAGATATTATTGAATTAAGTTACTCATGTAGAAACAATATGTGATTGGTGGGATGTGTGTTCCAAAGGGAGAGGATAAAAGGAAGATAAATATGGATTTATTCTCATTAACAGTAATTGTAAATCGAGGACTAATGTTATAGTTAATCAAACTCAACAAGTGTATTATGTGAAAGATACCAATGATCCTAATTAACTTGTTGTAGTAAAAACAAAACCTCTAGACTTATGCAATATGCCCAAGGAAGCTATACATGAGGTGTGTCAATAAAATAATGATATTTGTTGTATCTTTTTTACATCTAAAGATGTATGAGACAATAAGAACGTGTTATCTTTAGATAAAAATGATTTAGGTCAATCAATGGCTAATGAAAATCCAGTCATTTATATGAAAGTGATTGATGATGAAAAAGACACAAATATTGAAAATATTAATTTAATAGATGATCAAGAAAGCAATGATATTGTTGAAGATAACCGTTATGATAGTTAATTATAATTTTATTTTTATTTAGACAAAAAAATTTATTTAAAAAACACCAGGATATTAGATAAATAATTTTAATTATTTGAATTATATTTTTTTCATCATTAATATACATGAATGCAAATGTTATTGAATTATATATATATATATATATATATATATATATATATATATTATTCATATAAATAAATTAAAATTCTAATGATAAATAATTTGTTATCATTAATGAATATTTTATAATAGTATTAAAAGAATATTTTCCTAATATAAAAATAAATAATTCTTTTATAATTCCTTTTAATACAATAAAATTAAATAATAATAATAATAATAATATTTAATTAAAACTTTATTTTTATAATACCAAACATTGGGTATATTATATTAGTAACAAAGTTACAATTTTAGTAATAAGGTAATAGAAAATAAGTGAATATTTTTTAACAATTACAATAAAAACGGAAAAAAATATTAATAAATTAAAATACAAAATATTACAATTTTATATTATTTTTATCATTTATTTCTATTTATTTATATATATATATATATATATATATATATATATATATTTATTTCATGTTATCACGTTTTTTTTTATATGTTAAACAAACGGTAATAAAATGTTAAAAAAATATATTAAATATACTATTAACAAAAACATATAATAAACTATATTTTTATTTAAATATTATTTATTGAAGTGAATAATAGTATATATATATTTTACTGTATTTTATTTTTTAGCATTTTTTTATTGAATATAATTTTTTTAAAATAAATTAATAATATAGAATATATATATAGCAAAAGATAAGTATAGATTTTGTTTTTAAAATATATTTAAAATAGTTTTTGTACGATAAAAAAATAAAATTTAATAATATTGAATTTATATTTATTAGTGTCCAAAGAAAAAAAAACTATTTCATTGTCAATGTAAGCAATACAATAATATAGTTATTTTGTTTGAAAGAATCATATAAAAAACTTGAACACAATTGAGATAAAAAAAATATTAAATTATATAAATTTTTCAGAAAAAGTGATAAATTATTGTTACAACTTACATTATCTTAGAAAATGAATAATTATTGTTATTTATTAAAAAAAATACAAAAGCCTTTATATATCTATTTTATATATTATTAATAATTTTGTCATGTATGGCAATCTGTTAAGATAAACTTCTAATGAAAATATTTTTATTCTTATTGTAATTAAGTTTACTTAATAATAAAAAAATATTATATAAAAAGTAATGATTAATTTTTAACTTAATTATTCTTTGAAAAATAATAAAAAACATTTAATAGCACCTCTTAAACAATTATTTAGAAATAATATGATTCAATAATATATGTGTTTGTAAAAAATAACAATAATTAGATCAAATGAAATAATATGTTTTTATTAAATATAAAATTCAAATAATTTTAATTAATTTAAAATATTGTTATATTTCATCTTATTTATCTATATTATTGTTACAGATAAAAATAAGTTAACTTAATAATAATGAATAACATTATTAATAATTAATTTTGTCCCTTAAAAAATAAGGTTAAAAGTTTAATCCAAAATATTGTTATTTTTATATTATTTAAATAATTTTTTTCAATTTTAATATTAAAATTATTATATTAATTAAATATAAAATTACTTATTTATTGAAAAAAAATTTTGAATTTAAGCATTACAAATAATATAATTTGTTAAACAAATAAAACTAAGTTAAACTCAAAACCATGCTGTGTAATTGTGTGTATGCTTGTTAACTAGTTTTATGTTTGTTAAGTACATTGTCAAGGTTTCAAATAAGAACATTAACATTGTTTATTTAAATAATTGATAAAAATGAAAGTTTAAATTAAGATAATTTAATATTTTATTTATTATTAAAAAATAAATATATAAATAATAATAATAATTAATAAAAAATTAATAAATATTGTATTAATAATATTTTCATAAAATATAATTTATTATATAATATTTAATATTTATAATTAATTATTTGTGTCATACATGATTTTATATTTTTAATGAAATTATGATAATAATTTTTAATTTAATTATTATTTAGAATAATATTTAAAATAAATATATATTTATTATTTTTGATGAATTATAGTGACAATTTTTAATTTAATCACTTAGGTGTAAAAATATTTGTAATAAATATATTATTTTTGTCACGTTTAATAGAATTATAGTGATAAATTTTAATTCAATCACTACTATAAATAGTATTTGTGATAAATTAAAAGTTCGTCACAAATAATATATAATGACAAATTTATGTTTCTCATTAAAAATTATATTTATATTTCGTGAATCCAATGTTGAAATTACAAAAATATTAATATAATTAAGATATTAAATAATGTTTTAAATTAAGGTATATAAATTTTTTAAGTGCGTAAGTTAATTAAGTAATATATTTATTATTTAATATAAATAAGATAATTATACATATATATTATTTTAAAATTTCCATTCAATAATTTATTTTTACTAATAATAATAATAATTTACTTAAGAACTTATAATTTTTTATTCACTTAATTATATTTTTAATGTATAAAATTTAGAGTGATTTTTGTTTTAGTGTTCTAAGTTTAACAAACTTATCTTAATCTCTCATAATTGAAAAATAAAATCTTAAATAATAAATGTTAAGAAATAAAATGAAACTTTTAAATTATTTTAGTTATCTAAATATTTAAGGACTAAAATCATATTTCAGATTCAAGTGTTTTTTCGAATCTGAGGGACTAAAAAATTATTTATCACAAATTTTTATATCATTATTATTTATATATTAATTTTGAAGGATAATTATTTTCCAATATATCATTAACAGAGATTTTGTCTTAAAAGAAAAAATCATAAACCATTTTTTTATTTATTTAGAATTGACAATTATAATATATTAAAATTATATATAATATAAAAATAATCATAATCTTTTATATCTTTACACAATTTAAAATTAAATCATAAATATTTTTATTCATGATACATTAATATATTTTGTTCCTGATCAAATGATAAATATATAATTATAAATAAAATATATTAAATAACTTTATTTGAATAATAAGTTTATAAATATATTATTTATAATTATGTGCTGGAATTAAAAATATATTTAATTATTTATTTTATTATAAGAATGTTTTTTTTTTTAAATAGAATGATTGTAAGAAATGGCCAAAAAAATTATTATTTGAGTTTTAAACAATCTGATAAAATAATTTAAATTCAGACTCAATAATATTTTAGCAGTTTTTCAAAAGCTCATTAGTGTCAGCTTCAAGAGAATAATAATAATACATTTGATGATGGTTTTTAACCATCGTAGTATGTTAACATTGAAATAGAAACACACTTTATAATCATTTTTAACCTACAATAACTGTTTTTTCTTTTTTTTTTTCTAGCAAAAATACCCGCGTTTACGTGAAACTTGCCAGAAACCATTTGCAGTTTACAGTTATTTTAGTTATAACGAATTATTTTTTATTTCTTTTTGGCAGTTTATAAATGTGAGAACGTGAATATCATATTTTTTGGGTATTGTTTGTGTGGTTTGTGGTTATAGATTCAAAATTATAACTTGAACAAATAAGAATTTTAATGGGGACTTCACGTTAAATAAACAAAATAATTATGAAATTATTTTAATTTGAGAATACACGAGTTTAGAGCTCTAGAGTAAACACTGTTATACCTTCAAATATGGAATTCACATAAACAAACATGATTAAAATACTTTCATGTGCCACAATCGCAAAATATTATTTTTGATAAAGTGTTTGTTGCGGTACTCGACACAATACATGAGAGGTTAAGGGTTGTGGCATGAGAACCACACAAGGACCATACTCAGATTAATGTCAACTAGAGTGTGCTACTTTCTATTTCCTAGTTGGTATTCCCACGTCTTAGAATACATCCTAAGATCCAAAAAAACTACAACACCATTCAAAAACCATTAACAAATACGAGCCTCAAGACTCTTCCAAGGATAGGGGAAAAAACACAACACAACAACTTTAATACACGACGTGATTAGGCCATGTGGGAACAACATGGTACTAAAAATTATTGAGTCATCTATCTATAAAACCTTTGATTTTGACGCAGTGAAGAAAAAAAGAAAAAATACAAAGAGTTACCATGTAAAACCTTGTTTACAACTTGCATTTATTACTAGCATCATATTGATATAAAAAATTAGGCCCAAAATACTATCTTTTCTAAAATCAAATAAAAATAGAAGCAATTTCCCATTTCCCAAATTGGGTAGTCATGGTTGTATGTACTCTGCAGTGTAATTCATGTGGATAATCCGGCTGCAAAGGCCACTCCGGTGGACGGTAACCAGGCCGACCCGGATATAAACTGGGCCACGGTGAACCGATTTGCCTCCACAGTAGATGTAATGACCCGGTACCCGGGCCATTTGACCCGTTGGCCCACTGCTGCACCGGGCCCATTATTCATGTACTCACCATAATACAATGTGTCCAAAGCAAAGTTTCCATTCCACTCCAACCATCCACGAGGATGTATATGGTCACCCATGTAGGATAACAAATACACTGTTCTAGAATACTGCTTCCATGGACGGCCCAAATAGGTGGGGAAGCTGCCCTTAACAGGGGCAAGATCTGGGGCGGGTTGGATCCGACAATCATGCATGGATATCCCCGTATTCTGATTTGGGTCTTTCCTATTTTGGGCCGTGATTGTGTTCTTCTGCTGGGCCATGGGCTTGCGAGCATAAATGTTGCACTTCTGGAAAACCACCGCAGCATTGCCGAATATGAAGTCTACAGTACCGTAAATGTCACATTCACGGAAAAATTGACGGTTAGAGTGGACGTAGCATGAGTCTTGGTACCCCACAATGTTGCACCGGTACACCACCGCGTGGTCTGCTCCGACACGGAGCGCCACCGCTTGGTGCTTCGCCGGTCCGGCATAGTTCTCGAAGGTGATGTCTCGTGCAATGAATCCAGCTCCACTAGCAGCTGCAAAAATCCATATTCTAAAATAAGGAGTGGACATGGACTGAACGAAAACTTAGGTGGTACCAAACCAAGTCTAATTTAATTTGGGACATAATCACATGATCCTGTTCATAGTTTTGTCTTGCATTGGCATGACTAGGCAACGACCAATAATTCAATTTTACCAATTTAATTAGGAGACAGTCATTAATGTTTAGAGGATAACGTTGTCCACAAATTTATAGGACATGCTATTACTTATAATAATTATGAATATAGAATGATGACTTCACAATGAAAAGTCAAGAAATGAATAATCATTTGTTTTGACAAAGGAAGATAACGCGTAAGGGTTATGCAACGTAAGAGACACTATTTAGTTGAACCAGGTTTCTTTAAACTCCAACAACCACCTACCACTCCTCTCATCTATTTCAAACATTAATCAAGTTAGTTACGCTGGTGGTGTTATTTTAATTTGTTCCATCGATTAAAATTTTCACCATTTTTTTTTTTTGGGGGTTGGATTCTGCAAGTATTTTTCACTTTTTGACTTCCAAAGTGGAGCATTCGTGCAAAACGTGCTCTACGGGCACCACGATCGATGCATGCACTTGTGTTCCGTGTATCAGTATCACGATCAAATGCTATTTTTGTTTCTAAAAGTACTGCGCGACACGTACTAAGATTCATTCAGAAAAAAAATCCTTACAACTATTTTAAGAAGAGAAAAATAAAACAATAAAATTGAATTAATTTTCAATTATAAAAGGAATCCCGTCTTTATCGAAAAATTAACTTTCATCGTAAATCCAGAAATGGTGGCGGTGGCGGTGGGCGTATTATCGTCCAAGTGGAAATTAACTTGGACATGGAAGAAAAGACACTACGAATATAAAACATTATGGGCCACGTGAAAGCTTGCGTTGTTCAATTTATCCTGCATGTTAATGGTTCACATTTTTCTACCTATATTTTCTTCCCAGTGCAAAGGATAAGAAAAATTTGTCTAACTAGACACAAAAAAGCATTAACTTTTTCAGGAAGCAAATACAAAAAAAAAAAAAAAAAAAAGAAGGAACGTACCGAAGGATGCAGAGTGGAATGTGGTCATGCCATCGATCACATTCTTTTTCCCTGTAATCACAGTTTTGCCCTTCCCCTCCCCTATGAACATCAAATTCGTTTTCTTTCTCCCCACCTTTAAATTATTCTCCTCGTACCTGAAAATTCAATCGTATCTAAATGAATCGACAAATTTTATTTAACCTCGCCACAAATCAACGGAAATTAAGGCGTAAACATGGTCAGAAATTATGATGGTGTTGAAACCTTCACATTATTACGGCTGTGAGAAGAAGTGCATGCAGAAAAATGTTTTTCAAACAACAGTAACTCGTCACCGACCGTTTTGCCTTTTATTCAGTGCACGTCATATCACATTCAATTGTGAAAACAGTTAAATAAAAACAAGAAAATAATTAAAAAAGTGTAATGTTCGTTATCTCGAAAAGCGTACACTTTTTCTGAATGTGTATTTAAGGATAAATATATTTATTTAATTACCTTCCTGCCCTCACGAAGACGATGAACCGACGAGTACTATGTTCTGGAGCTTTCTTAATCGCTTCGGCAATTGTCTTCACCGTTCCGTTACCATTCTTAGATACGATTATATCTGCTTGAATTGCCGACGCTGGTAAACTCAATAATCTTCTATCACGTTTATTCAACCATCTCGGGAATTTCCCCGGGATATCGCCGTTAACATTCCCTTCAGTTTCTTCATCTTCTTCTTCTTCCTCTTCCATTAATCGTCTCTTGTTCTGAATCGGCACCCCCGAGAAATCGCCACTTCCGCTCGCCGAGAATATCGCGAGACAATTGCTCACGAGTTCAGACAAGTCCTTCAAGTTATCAACCATCTGGTCCTTCATGCTCCCGCTCGTGTCCTCAAACCCCTCCGCACACGTGTCATGATTAGTGAGCGCGGCGCTGAGCCACGTTATCACGTCGTCGGTGGATCCGACAGCGCCATTGGAAATCTCCAAGGGTGAGAGAATGGAGTCGAGGGATCGCGAGAGCGCGTCCATCGACTCCTCCAATAACTCGAGGCAATCGTCGTAGGCGGCGCGAACTTTGGGTTCGGTGGCGGCGAAGGAGAGGCCGGTGGAGGCGAAGAACGCTCGGCTGACGTGACGCAGGGTCATGTTGAATGAGATGTGGACGAGGTCTTGCTCCGAGGCAGTGGTGGAGCCGGGAAAGTCAAGGAGGGAGTTGATGCATAAGGTGGGGAAACGTGTCTTGCTGCAGGTTCGGGAAATTGCCTGCAATGTTGGAATTTCATTGTGTTAATTTAGGTATGCAATAAAAGGAAATCAACAACTGATATTGAGTTTCAAAAAACCAAATGCACACGAGAAGATTTAGTAATGGCTTCGACTTAATGAATTGGTGATTGGGTCTCCGTTGTGGTGTAAAATTTAAAATTTTCTGTGATAAAATGAATCGGGTCTTGCCTGAGTAGGTTTGCGGGCAAGGTTGGACCCGTTTTGGTTATCGGAGGCGCGGGAGCGGACGACGGTAACGAGAGCGGCGGAGATGGCGGCGGCGACGATTAAGACGGCGGCGATAAGAGAGAGCGTGATGAGTTTTTTTTTGGTGGTTCCGGAGGATGAAGAGGGGGATGATGTTGGTTTGGTAAGAGGAGTGGTGGAGCGGCGTGAGGAGCCACCTGGGTCGGAGGGACCCAACTTGGCAAATTCCATTGGGTTTGTGAAGTTGGGTATGGGAATGAATGGAAAGCGGTTAGTGGCTTTTGGTTGAAGTGGGAGGGTGAGGTTTTTATAAATGGCGGTGGTACGAAGAGTGAGGGAGTGTTACAGTGTTGATGTAAAATATGGAAGGTTGGTGTGAAGTCGATGTCGTATGAATTAGCTGGCTGCTACTTCCTATGTTGTCCACTGGATGTGAATGGATAGTAGAGATTAAGAGGTTTCTTTGCCTTTTTCCCTACCTCTTGTCTTTCTCGTCCTCATTCTATATTATTATATATTATTGTTCTATGCTTGCTGGTGCTTTGTGCTGAGTTGGATTTGTTCTACGTTAACCAGTCATGTCATCATGACTGATTGAGTTATAAAATGTTACAATGTGGTTGTTGATGTTGTTGGTGTTGTGTTATTTATCATTTTATGTTTTTTGATTTGGGAAATTCATGTAAAAGGTGTTATGATGTTCAGGTCAGTTTCTAAAAGAATTCTAAAAGATTACATTTTTTTTTCATTTGGTATACAATGGATGATCTAGGAATGAAATTTGTTCTACTTTATCTTTATGACACGGTGAAAAAGGGGACATGCATGTGTTTCTTAACTACTAAGCTAAATCTCCAATAACATCATCGTCGTGTCCAATTTCAAGTTTAGTTTATTGTCTCTCCTTTCTACTGTTAATCATGTCCAAAAGTTGCCACTAATTCTCCTTATTCTACTGTTCTCAACCTTACAAGCTATCATTCCCACTTTTCGCTCTTTTAACTTTATTAGAAACATCGTTGCTTAGGAAAATGGTTTTTACACACAACTTTTCTACACTTTTTGTTACACTTCGTAGCAAAAAAGGTACTTTGAAAATTGTGCTTTTATTGTTTTAGGATTAAAAAAGAAATTACATTATACGAGTAAACACCACCTTTTCATTCTTAACATCCTCTTGAAGGACCGCTATGCTCAACCCTACTTTTACAAATACAACCGAAATTTTATTATATTCAAATAAATTCTTTTAAAATATTTAATTACATCAGATAATGATTATGTTAAAAGTATAATTAATTACTTAGCAAATATAATTGTTAATGGAAGGAACAATACCTTTTTTCAGACTTTTTATTTTATTTAAACAAAAAGTGTTTGGCATCTTTCTCTTTTCTCTCTTTTTTTTTTTTTCAGTTTTCATTTCTTTTTTCTTTTGAACTAAACCACAGGATTTTCTATCTCCTTCTTTCATCTCTTCGTGCATTTTAACCTCTAATAAATAGAACATAAATGCTGTGAACCCCATCATTTTTCTATAAATAAATAACATTGTCGGATGAATTACTTAGATTTTACTCAACATATAAAATATCAAAGTTGACGTGATAAATGAAGTCAAATGATTTATAATTTAAAAATTATAACATTAATATTCAAGAGCAAGTAACAACTTTCCCACGCATTTTTTTTAATTTTACTAAAAATTAAAACAAAAAAAATAATTTAAATCAAATGCAGTACAAAAAAATGAATGTTCAATATTAAAAAAAATGTTTATTGAATTAATGAGAGAAGAATAATGAATAAAAATACTTTCGATAAGAGTGAAAAACTAAACTTTATAATATAACAATAATGAAAGTTAGATTTGTCATTACAAAAATATAGATAGACAATCATGTTTGAAAACAAAAATCTAACATAATAATAATAATTATTATATTAGGTTGTTTAATACTTTTCACAAGTAAAACTTTTAATATATAATTCATCGCTGTTATTAATATTAATAGAAATACATGTGTTCGCTTTTTTAAATAAATTTCTTTTAAAATATTTTTATTATTAGATTAAGAGAATTGTTATTGGCAGTGATTTGAACCCAGTACCTTAGAATTGAAGATCGATACTCCAACCATTAAGCTACTAGAATTTTTTAATAATAATTTACAAATAAATTATATTTATATATTTATATTTTATATATTTATATATTTTTATTTTATATATTTTTATATTTTTATATAATTAAATATTTATTTTTTAAAATTATTTAATTTAAGAAATTATTATAAATTAATCTAATTATGATTAAATTAAATTATTAAATAAAAAATATTTAATTTTTTAATTAGGTTAATATTTACTAATTGTTAATTTATCGATCGGAAATATCCGTCGGTAATTTACAGATGAATTTACCGACGGATATATCCGTCGATAAATTCATATGTAAATTAGCGACAGATTTACCGACGGATATATCCGTCGATAAATTCATCTCGTAAATTACCGATGGATTCCGTCGGTAACTAATTATTATTTTACCGACGTCGGTAAAATCAAATTCCACAAATATTTTATATCTGTCGATAATTTCCGTCAGTAATAATTATTTTCTGATGGATTTAAATCCGTCGATAAATATCCGTTGGTAATACGCGATTTTCTTGTATAGTATTCTTTCCCTTTTAATTTAAGAAAAAACAAAACTTTACCAACATTAAAGAGATAGCACAATGAGACAGTGGATAGTTATTATCCACCCTTATCATATATAATCAAAATGAAGCAAAAGTGATTAATTTTTTTTCTTATTAATGAGAGCTGGAGAAAGTACAGAGGTACAATTATTTTTTTTTGTAGTACATAATTACTGAAGAGTAGTGAATGTGAAAATGATAGAATGTACCCAAATCCAAAACTTCATTCAATTTAACAACCACCAAAAGAAAGAATATAAAATAAGATGCGTGAAGAAGGAGGAATACTAAAAGGAGGATTAGATGCTTTTCAATTCAACACTTGCCATTGCATACGTTTTTAACTGTTATCAGCACCCTTTCTCCACACTATTCTCAAAACTTACAGAAAATGATCAATTTTTGTTTATGTGTATGTTTATTTTTTGCTGATTTTTGAAAAATTGGAAAGGAAAAAAAATATGTTGTATGAATGTGTTAAGGCAATTAAAAGTGTGTTTTGCAGTGACAATTTATGGAAAGAGAGGGTTTGCAAAAGGGGTTGTTGTTCTTCCTTCCACATATTTGTCTTTGGGGTGGTGCCAACCTTCCAAAAACTTTTTCCTTTATGGATTCCTTTCTTTTGATTTTGTATAGAATACGAATTCTCTTAAAGCTGGTTTTCCCAAAACAAAAGGGAATCCAATCAAATGCAAATAAAGTGTTCCTCACATTAAAACAATAAACAAAACGCTCAACATGGAACCATACTTCTCATACCATCGATTCAATAATTTGATTAGACGAAATCTTCTCACTTGTAATTTCAAAAATTTCGTTTAAAATTATGATTTATTATTATAAATTCTCGAGAAATAAAAATAAAAATATTTAATTAACATAATAATAGAATCTCTCACCGAATAATTCTAAATTCAAAATAAAATAATCTATTAAAAAATATTTATATTATAATTAATCAAAATTTTAAATTTTTTAGACAATATATATATATATATATATATATATATATATATATTATTAAATAGTAACTTTATTAAAATTTCACATTTTATTAAAATAAGGAGAATGATATTTATAACTGTTATCCTTTTTCAATTCTCAAACATACTTTTTAAGAAAATCCTTTACTTAATCTCCATGTAATAATCTTAATAATGTAAATTAATAACATTAATAATGAAAAGGAAAAAAAACGAGGGACTTTTATTCTTTTAAAATTATAATTATTATAATGATTCAAAATATTTCATTGAACATTAAAATAAATAATATATATCTTAAATGTAAGAATGTTAATGAGTCAAATTAATTCCTAAAACATAAAGTTGAGTCAAATCTGAACTATAATTATATAAAAATTTAGAAAATCAAGCATAAATACACGGACCATTTTTCATTAAAATTGAGGTCAAACCTATAGGGTTAAGTACAAAACTAAAATAAGACGAATCTTAACTTTTTTTTTTTTTTGCGAGTTTAATAAATATTGTGATATACTATAATTAGTTTTAGTTTAAATAATAAAAATAAAAGTCATGGAAATTTCATATTCTATAAATAACGAATGAAATTAAAATTATTTTAAAATTAAAAAATGACAGTAAAAAAAAACACATTTTTAAAAAAGTTTAAAAATTAAAAAACAAAAAGTTAAGAAGACTCCTCATAAGACAAGGTGAGCTCAGTTGACTAAAAGCCCAATAGATTAATCTTAAAGTATGAGTCTTTTTCATAGGTTAAAACACATCATTCTCTTCCTTCAAAATATTGCATTTTTTTTCACTTTTTTTATTTATTTAAAATAAACTAAATTAGAAAATTTTATAAAATAAAGAATGTACTGAGAAAATAATTTTATAGGGCATTACAACAACCACTTAAATATTTAAGATTTTTTAAAAAATGACGCGACAAAAAAAATTTAAAATTGATTTAAGTTACTTATTGACGTAACCGTTACAAAGTATATATATATATATATATATATATATATATATATATATATATATATATATATATATAATAATAATAATAATAATAATAATAATAATAATAATAATAATAATAATAATAATAATAAATGGTTCTCTTCAAGTAAAATCGAATCAGGTTGCTTAGCAAAGACATGAGATTGTGAATTTTCACTTTACATTTTTTTTAGCATGGAAAAACAACTCATTTCATTGAAGCGATTCTTAATATATTTTTTTATATTAAAATTACATATTAAAATATAGATTATACTATAATATTAAAAAAAAAAACTATAGACACACTCCTATTTTTTAACCATGATCTCCTAGGAAATATAAATATATTATTTTAAAACTTAGGAAAAATACATATGTATATAAAATATAGCAATATAATATTTTACATAATAATCGACTCTTATAATACTATATTGGATGACTTGATCCCATAAAATATAATCCGTTCATAAAAGAAAATGTATCGTGACAAATTATTTTTATAAATCATATAAATTTGTAGATTTCAATAAATTATGATTTCTTCATTGTA